CTTCCTGCAGCCCTCCCCTGCCCTACCCCACCCCACCCCAGCTCACTGCAAAAAAGAGGTCTGGAGTGCCGCCCCTTTGAAAGTGCCGCCCCAAGCACATGCTTGGAGGGCTGGTGCCTAGAGCCGGCCCTGCCAAACTGATAATTACCCCCTCGGGTGTTTGGAGTGGTATTTGGATTCAGTCGCAGATTTTTGGTGGCTGGCCTTCCGTCTGTGGCTGGAGATCTTCTTGATGTGTCCACAAAGCAATCTGCTTGACCCAAACCCACAGTTGCCTTCTTAGACTGAAAAAGTTACAGAGACATGTCATAAAAAAAGTAGACAAAGCAGGTGTTACAAAAACATGTCACTAAAAAAATAATTGTTAAGCAAGCTATTTCCAAGCTGTTAGTTTGGCAGTTGTATTTCCCCATAACAACAGTCCTGAAAGATAGCCAGACTTCCTGTTTTTCACAGGCGCTTACCCCAGCATGTCAGAGAAGGTGTAAAGTCAAGCTCGCGTCATGCGATCGCTATTCCCCCGCCTTGCCTTAGTTATGCTAAGCCCTGCAAAGGCCTACTCAATGACTAAATGCAACAAGCAATAGAGATAGATAGATAGTCCAGCCCAATACTAGGCAGTGGCCTGGACACCGGGCTGGTTGCTAAAATGCCCCTCAATAAAATTCCCTCTGTTATAAAATGTCCATTTCTGGGGAGTATCTGTTATTTTGCACTAAGGCCACTCCTGGGAGATACCAAACCCGGCTTCATTTTAACTTGTGCTGCACAGCAGCTTGCAGCCTTGGGCCCCAGGTATCTGCATGTTTCCCCATCCTGTTTTAAGAGTGTTACCATGAGTAGGGGAGGTGAGAGGGGCAGTGCCCATGGCAGGGCTGCAGCTGAGCTATTTATACCTCGTTGGAGGGAAGACAAGGGTGGGTGGGAGCTTTAGCAATAACTGCAGACATCTGGCAGTTCTCAATGGCTTTTCATCTGCTCGTTTCCATAACACACCAGCAAATCCGGCCCCCAAGCACTAGGGGAGGGAATATTAATAAACTCCTTTGGCCAGCTGGAACCGAGCTTGAAATGGCTGGTGCAGCCTCCCTGCCCTTCACTGGATAAACCCCTGGTGGCTGGGCTCTGCAGGAGAGGTGAAGGAGGAGTGGGGAGGGGAATTCCAGCTCCTTGCCTCCCTGGGCATGGGAGCCCAGCACAGCCCCCACCCCCCTCTCAGTCACTGCCCCAGCTTTCCCCTGCAGTGACGGATGCAGCCCCACTCCCTGCCATGGGGCACAGATGGAATAGAGTCCCCGACTCCAAGCTGCAGCCCCCTGCCAGGCTGGAAGTGGGGCGGAGCGAGAGGGGGGTTTGCTCCATCTCTCCACAGGCTGCAGATGTAGGATTGCCAACTTTCTAATCACACAAAACTGACCCCCCCTTGCCCCGCCCCCTGCCTCTTC